TTTAAAATTATTCAATAGCACATTTTATCTTACTGGACTAGTATCAAGAAAAACAGGGCTGTTTGAAAGGGGAGGTTAAAAAGCCAAGATAGCAGTTGTGACTGCATGATTTATTTATTTTTCACATTTCTGAACTCACTCAAAGAATAACTGAAGCTCCATCCCTTTTTACATCTGCCAATGCATATAAAAAGGGGTGGGGTTTAAATAACACTATAGTGGCCACCATCTCAACTTTTTTGATCCTCCTCTGATTGGAAATGAACTTGATTAATATCAAAGCTGGTGTTTAATTAAACCAGGACTATCTGTTCAGTATTATTATATAGATTTTTTCGAAAGGAAAAATGGTGCTTCATTTTATTCATGAGAAACAAACTTACTGTTTTAAGCATTTTAAACAGATTCCCAAGAGCAGTATATACAGGTTTGACTTGAAACTGAATTTGTCAGTTTCAGTGAATTTGGCGACTGTGTTGAACAATGTAGTAAAGGCTACATTACATCCTCTTACAAAGTCTTAAGAGAAAATGTATTTGAAATATCAGAAAAATACTCATTGAACATATTTATATATCATGCTTCAGCTGCAAAGGTTTTCAGAGTGGCTTCCAGTTCAATAAATATATATTTATTTGTTCATTTTTACATAAAATTTGTTTTATTTTCACTTGAAAAAATCCATGTGTTGACAAAAGTGGTGTCTTTTTTTAAGCTTCTTGAACTTGGAGCAGAACATTCTGCAAATCTTTAGAGAACACAGAGTGTCATAGGGAAAGAATGTCTTTTAAATATTTTGGATCAAAACAGAATTAAAACTCTTAGCCAATAATTAGTTATTTGAACTGGGCAAAGAAATAGAATAAGAGCCAATGAAGTTCCAATGAAGTCCAAAGGAGATGTTTCTCAAGGTTCCTTCATATTTTTAAACAAAGTGAAATAACAATCTAATTTTAGATTTCAAACAACAGAGTGTTGGCAAGACATTTAAGAGCAGATCCACGTGTCCCTTTAATACAAATCCAACATGCTACCCTTAGATTCAGTGGTGGGCCTTGCTGAAGAAATGTCACCTATCAGTTTAGCTGGCTTCTCTATAGGCAGTAGAGTGGGCTACAATATTGGCAGCAAAATCCTTGGCTGTGAGCTCCCAACATCAATCTGTATAATGGTCTATAACAGGGGTCCCTAACCTATGGTCCGTGGCCCAGGATTGGGCCGCAGGCCTTTGGCCATTGGGCTGCAAAAACAGCTGGCTTGTGTGTGCACGCGTGGGTGCACATTTCCCCTGCAGCCCCATTTGCACATGCGTGGGTGCGAATGAGGATGCTAGCCTGGGTGGTTTGCGCAGCCCGTTTGCGCATACACGAAAGGGTCGCTAGCTGCCATGGGAGGTGCACGGCCATTTGCACATGCGCACAGCGCCAATGCATGCCGCATGTGTGAATGGGGCTGCTAGTGCCACGCCAGTGTGCATGGCCCTGTGTGTGCACGCATGCGCACGCATACCAATTTTGAAGCTGCTCTCCTTCCCTCCAATACTTGAGCCCGGAAAGGTTGGAGACCTCTGCTCTATAACATTCTACATCAGCCAATATTTCCAAAGGCTGCTTCAAAAATACAGCATAAAACACAGTGATCTTAATTTTAATTAGGATATATTTGATTTTTCTCAAGGGCTCCCTTCTGCTTTCTGTTGTAAAACAATTTCAAAATGTTAAGTGAGTGCAAACTAGTGCTGAGAATTAAAATTCTGGAAATCACTTTTTGTGGGGAAGGGATGCAGGGACTGTGAGCTCAAAATTATTGTCTTCCACATCAGTTTGTTACTGCTGGTTCTTGTTCATATGCTTTTAGTGTCAGCATTAATCAAGTTGTTAAATTTTCTGTTACCAACCATTCATCAGAGTCCTATAAAGCCATTCACTATAGGACATCAAATGGCAATCTTGCTGTCACACTTAACAAATTCTGAGCAATGTCTCCTTGCTATATACTATAGACCAGATGAACTTAAGACAAATTCAGGTATTAGAGCTCTACAGAGCATTCCCCTCTCTCCTCTCCACAGAAGCTAGTTATATTTTATGCTACTAAATTCTCAGATTTCCTCAGGTGAAACCTAAATGCTGCTAATCAAAAACAATTAATTCCTGTAGTCTTTCCTACCATGGCATCTTTCTAAAATACTTGATCTACAGTTCCCAGAATTTCCAGATTCCCAATCATCATGGTAACTGGCCATGCTAATTAGGAATTTACAATTTGTACTTTTAACACATCTGAAGGAAAGGCTGGCATAATCATTAACCCACATATAGGGATTGGGGATGCAGATGTTATGTCTATCATTTGTCTCAATAGTAAGATTTTGAGTGCTTTAAAATACTGGCCAAGGTCAGTGTTAAACAGTTGGAATCCACCTGTTCAGGAAAACTGCCATTTTAACTCTTTCAAGTTATTGAGATGAATGGAGTATTAAGACAGTTTTAGACAAGGCCCAGAAACTACTTCCCCCCCCGCCCCCCCCAAAAGGCCACCAGCTTCTTTCTTTCCCTTATTACATCTTTTCTTCCATGGCCCTTTCTTCTCCTGTGTGGCTTTTAGGGACAGAAACCTCTTAGGTGTAGAAATAGCATAAATAGGAAGGATCAAGAGCTGTTTGAGAAGTCTGGCTCAGTTGAAAATATTGAGATGTCCATCATGATAATAAAAGGAACACAACAGGTGTTCTTACCACATGATCAATGAGTGTTCTTATATGAGCATCCTACAATTGCAGGAATTGATATGAATTAAAAAGATGACAAAATACAAATATAGCAAAGTTTTGAATAAGTTTATTCAAACTCTAGCCTTTTGTTTTTGCATCAAAGAAATTGATAGACACGTTCCCCTTCACTTGCTCAGTATTTTAAAATCAGTGATTTGCAGATATATTGAAATTATATGCTTTGTATAAATTGCTGATTGGAAGTACCTTTGATAATTGCTCAGAAGCTCAATTCACATACTTTGTGTCTAAATAATTTGGTTGCACAATTCTACCATAATTGTTTTCATTGCTGTGATATGTGCTGCTAGAGAGTTGGTGCAAAACTCACATAAAAGCCCAAATATTAAATGTTAGATTAATGAATAGGGACTTATAAAAATATATGAAATGAGATTTTGTGATACACGTAAAAAACCTCTATGCTGGAAAAATCTTACCTTTGCTAGAGTGCTCTTGATTTTGTTTTTGAATATTTTGAATAAATCAAACTATACAAATTAAATCCAGATAGCCACATTGGCATATTTTAATTTCACAACCTGTGAGTTCCAGGATATAGATCTAAATCCTACTAGCATTAGTGAGGCCTGATTAATAATTAATTGGTTGTTCTGGTTTTAATGGGATCTGACTAATGGGCTATAAGTGTTACATTTATGTGGGGGGTATTACAGAAGAGATGGAAACCTGAATTGATTTCATGCAGCAGAGTTTTATTTCATGGGTGGCGCCAGCTAAATACAGAACATTATACAATTTTGCATTCCATTCCATCATAAGTTTCAGCCATAAGTAAGCTCTTTCCATAGTCAGCAGTCCTTTCTTTTAAAATACAACAGGCAATATGATGTAACTCTGCATAGATTTACTCGGACATTTGAATTAATGAAAATGGACATACAGTGAGAAGGAGTATGCATAGTGATGTGCAAAGGCTCCAGGTCAAACATCTGTGCACTTGGCATGCAAAGCTGAAGGGCTCCTAAGTGCCGGAACAAGTGTACTCATGATTGGAGTCCCTAATAACCTACTAGTGTTTCTCTCCAAGTCTTTTGTCCTGAATGCATAAAAGTACAGAAGTGGGGATCTAGAGATTGAAACTTAGGTTTACAGCCTTCCCCAATTAAAACTGCACGTGTCTGCTCTAGATCAGGGCTTTTCAACCTTTTCACCCATTGTACCACTTTTAGGATATGGCAATATCCAAGTACCACCAGTCACCTAGGAAGGTGTCAAAAACTTGATGACCCATAAAAAAAGGAAAAAAGTGATAAAGTACAGGTACTCCTCGACTTACAACAGTTTGCTTAGTGACTGTTCGAAGTTACAATGGCACTGAAAAAAGTGCCCCCCAAGCCACAGCCGAGCAAGACACCTGCCTGTCCACCCGGCAGTGCTCTTCCTCCTATCCGAGGTTTTCATTGTTGTGAACATTTCTGTTGAGGATTGGCAGCGGGGGTGGGGTGGGGTGGGGGGGTGGTGTTTGGTTTTTATTCCCCCGTCTGCTGGGTGGTTGCAGCAGGTTTTGGTCACTTCACATGACCCTGGGACACTGTGACCGTCATAAATATGAATCAGTTGCCAAGCATCTGAATGTAAATCACAAGACCCTGGAGATGCTGCAACATTCCAGCTGATCGGCGCTTCTTCTGGGCTCAGCAGAAGCACCAGGATCAGCACCGAGCTCCAGCTGATCCTGGTGCTTCCACTGAGCCCTGACAGCCCTGAAGAAGCGCTGATCCTGGCGCTTCCGCTTAGTCCTGACAGCCCTGCAGCTCCAGCCATCTCTTGCTCAGGCTTATGCAGTGCTGCTACTGGTTCAGCTCATTCCCCTCCCCCACTACTTTTCTAGGATGGCCGCGTACCACCTACCAAGTGTCAATTACCACAGGTGGTACCCGTACCACTGGTTGAAAAGCCTTGCTCTAGATCACATAAGAGAAAAACTGGCCAACTGCTTGTTTCCAGGAATGTACTAAAAGCCCCAAGACCAATCTGGCCAATTTTCAAGTATAATATCTGTTTTCATGGTTTCTCTGCCACACCAAATTTGGTTCCATTCTATTCCATCTTCAGAAAGTTACTGCACTGACAGACAGCCCAAGTCCAAGCTCTCTTACATAATTTCTTTCCAATGAGCCATTGGATTGAAAATCAACATACTTATCCAGAAAATACTAGAGGCATTTTCAAACACTGTACTTTTGCCAATAGATATCCTCTTTATTCAAATAAATGGGGAAACTTAGTCAAATACTTTTCAACAGATGAAAAAATGTTCTCCTTTGTGAATGGAAATAAATTCTACATATAAATAAGGAAATACAATTATCAAGAGCCAAGTCAGAATCAAGCTGACGATTAATTCCCTAATGTTTCTATGGGAGCCCTTTCCCCCCCTCAATGACCATGTTACTTGGGTGAAGACTGGTGCTATAGCAACCTTCTGAAATCTTTTCTTTTCTTTTCCAAGCATTGGTACAATTTTTTTACAGCAGTAGGTCAGTTCTTCTCCTGTTTTACTTTTTCTTCATTTGTACCTAATGATTTTAATCTAGATATGCCCAGAAGGAAGTTGTAGAAGAGATACAGGTAAGCAACTTAGAAATATATATTTTAGCAAAACAGGTAAAATATTTTTGTTAGTTCCTTTGTTGTTTCTTTTCTTATTTTTCACATAGAATAAACTAATGCAGCTCTGCTTACTTTTGAGTTCTGTGCTGAAATCTTCAGATGAACTATTTAACTATTTAGTCCAACAGATAGGGACAGTTTAACAAAAGCCACTTTAATTTGGTGCGATTAGCAGAAGAAAAACGACTGCAGGAAAATTACATGTAACAATAAATTGAGATTTTGGCACAAAGTTTGAATGTTCCCCAAAGTGAAGTCTTTGTAATAAATTCTGAATGTAAAAATATAGATATTTATGATTTGTACCTAAGCAAGAATAATGTTGCTTCTAACAAATAGGATGTAGCTTATAGCCAATTAAAGTGCAACATAGATCTAATTCATTCTAATCCATTGCCATTACTTTTTCTGTTAAATGTGTGTACACATGTATGTCTCATCGTAAATATCCATATGTCTATGTTTAAGCAAACACACAGATGCACACACAAAACTCCAGAGATCAATGGACTATACTGATTAAATCTTCCCAGAGACGAATCTTTCTATTAAACAATCATGAACTGGCACACATAGAGCAACTGATCTCTACACCTCTTATCAAACCACTTTCCCACAGCCACTGCAGACAATGCTGCACAGTTTTCTTGCTTCCCTCCATCAGGTTGGGTGGTGATCTCTGTTTCCCAATTCTTATAGCTAATGCTGTTGCTTGTCATGTCCACCCATTTTCCCTCCACTGCCAAGTCATTGATGCCAAGCCAAATTTCCGCTTCATTCCCCAGAATCTTCCTCACATAGTCATAGAGAGCATCATTTTCGTCACCTGTCTGTGGTGTACTGAGGGTGCCACCCTGAGAAATGCAGTCTTCACTGGCCTCATGATAGGTCTTGGCATTGGAAAAAGCCAGGACACATTTTAGGTTGATCTTGGTACCTTTCAGACAAACTAATAAAAACAAGAAAAAAAGAAGGGAGAAACAAGTTATTACCAAAAAAGAATGCCACCCATGAGGACTTTTAACCCCTCTTTTTATAAACATTCCTGCCACCTATTTTCCCCACAGTAACAACAGCTAGCAGAATGTGTTAAGCCCTCTCCAAGCTGCTGGGTCAAGAAGCAAATACTGAAGGACTTTTCCATAATGAGAAATGGTATGCCTATATGTTTTTTTTTTCAGGGAAAGCCTGACATACAATCACTGGCAAACATTCAGTGTATAATTACAGGTAGTAATTTTGTTTGCAAGGAGTCTAACTGGCACAGGAAGAGGAACAGATGAAATGTTTAGCAATCCAGATAGTTTGGTCATGTAATGTTCGCCGTTTTATGTTTCACCAAGAACACTATCCCTCTCTCTGTCAGCTAGGTGATGGCATCCCTCCAGTAGAGAGGTGCTTTAGACAGTTGTGCTGCTCCTGAACCATTTCTGCGGATGATGACTCAATTTTTTTTCCTGTCTGCCTTTTGGCTCAGCAGATCCTTGGTTCATGTTTACTCTTTTTCTGTTGCTTTGAATAACTAATTAATGCTATGTGAATAAAGCCTCAACAACTTTTGCTTTTGGCCCCAAATCACTTGCTTATTTAGAGTTTTTATGATTGACAATTAAGTAATTGTGGGCCTTAATTGAGACCAGGGACTAGGGCAGTGATGGCGAACCGTTTAGAGACCGAGTGCCCAAACTGCAACCCAAAACCCACTTATTTATCACCAGGTGCCAGGTGGGCGTACCCCACTGGGTGGGTGTGGCTGTGGTGGTCATGGCAGACTGGGTGGGTGTGGCCAAGATGGGTATGGTCACCTCGATGTTGCTCATGGGGAGGGATGCCTGTGGGGACCGGGCAGGGTTTGGGGAGATCCAGGGGGTCTCTAGCAGGTGGGGCAGTGGGCAGGAGGCTCGTCCTGCAGGGTGAGGCGAGGCAAGGCGAGGCAGGGATGCCATTGGTGCAGGGCAAGGCGAGACAGGGGCCGGGGAAGCTGCTGCCTGACACCATAGGCCCCCGCACATAGAGGCCAGCGAGCGCATGGAGGCCAACAGTGTCTGTTAGCATGCACAGCCTGCCAGCCTCTCAACCGGCGCACTCTGGGGCTCCGCAGCCTGCCACCAGAAGTTCAGAGAAGCCACTTCTGAGCTGGACAGATGGCCAACAGCTGAGGAGGCAATGCAGTGGGTCGTGCCCGGGAAAAGGAGAGCATGTGAGGCCAGGAGGGATGGGACAGGGGGGAGGGAAACCAGCCATGCTGGGATGCCTCCGGCCACGTGGGACCTGGGTGAGTTAGCGGGTGGCTGGTTGAAGAGGGACAGTTGCCATCTCTGGGGCATGGTGGGCATGCCCACAGAGAGGGCTCCGAGTGCCGCCTCTGGTACACGTGCCATAGGTTCGCTGCCACTGGACTAGGGACTACTAAAGTACTAAAGGGCAGTTCTGAGTATCAAGTTCTGAATCCATATCAACATATTATGGAGTTCCTAGAAATTTCACACATATTGCACAAGCAATAGGGTCGTAGTGATATAAGGAAAAGGAATAATTACGAATGATATGTGTATGGCAATATAAGGAGTGTACTTGAAATTTGCTTGTTTTTCATGTAATTTTTTGCTCTGAGTATTTTCATCTGGTGTAAGTGTTGAATACTATGAGTTAAAGAATGTTTCAACATTTTGGAAACCACAAGCCATCTCTGATTTATGCTGAATTTTTAAACAAACACTTATGGGATTTTTTTTAATTAGCCCCAAACAATGCAACAGCCATTTTCAGAAAACATACATGAATCCACTCAATATAGCAAATATGTCCACTACTCCAAAAAATTGGGGCCTCCTGAAATAAAATCTGTTGTTTTTTTTATTTGTTCCACAACCAAGTCAATTTTGTGATTTAAGAAAGTTAGGACTGGTGGATTTTATACCTGTCTGAAGTGCTTGCTTTTCCTTTAGTAAGGCCACCTCCTGGGAAAGGTTCTCTAGTTGCTCTTTAAGTTCTTCAATCATTCTGAGGCTTACAGCATCTGTTAAGTCAGTAACAAGATTAGTTTGCAACTAATAACTGCACATTCAATCTGATGAGTAGAATGAGAACTTCCTCCTCTATTGGTGATGTAACCTCAAGTGAAAAGAAAAAAAAACGAATTATGAGTATTTGTCCTAAATTTGTATACTCATATGTTTTATAAAGTTAGCAACTGAAAATGTTTCCATACCTCAGAAACAAAAAACAAAATATCTTTTTACTGCAGTTTTTAAAAGAATGAACTAAAAAAAACAGCAATCCTAGTTCCTTGCATATGTTCTATACTATTTCTTATTATTCATCAAAACTTTATATTTCTCATGTGACCATTCCCATTTAGTGGTTTATTATACATCATGTACAATTATTTAATTGTCTTCCTTCCATTTATGGCACTGTATAACTCTGCAGACTGTAAAACTCAAGGTTCTTGTGTAAATCAAACCTTGTTTACATGTATGTTACTTATGGTTACCACAAGTTTTAAATCACAATATGACTCCCTTGGGCTTCAAATTATATCTAATCTACTGATGCACAATAGCTAAAGTGGGGCTTTATGTAACTCACAATCTCACAATGAGGAAGAAGTTAGTAGTCTCTAATTAACTAGACTTACAGGAAACTTCAGCTCCTAATTCACTTTTATGTACTGTAAACAGAATGAAAACATAGTAACTTAATTGGTTCTGATGGAAGATCAACAATCATATATAAAAACTTGCCCACCACAGTTATCTGGAATTTTCCTAGGCATCCTCCTTCATTATGGACTTGTAGAAGAGAAACTTTTGAGAGAGAATATATAAAGGACAGTTTTGAAATACTGTAAATATCCTCAAACTTGGCTATTTCGTTTAATGTTATCATAATAAAGTGACAAGGTCAACTCATCTCTGTGTCATGTTGTATTTGAAGTTCACTATGAGAACTGAAAGGGCCTTATAAATGAAAAAGAAAGCATATGAGAAGGGTATCAATGCTAATGTTCTTTAGGCACTAGTCAAATTCAGTTTAATAGCTAGTTATAGTCATCACAATATCAATCTTGTTTTAAACTGTGTTCTTCTTGCTTCTATATGTAGAACTATTCTAGTATTTCAGTTTAATTAATATAATTGCTAATTATTGAATGGTCAGGAAAGTATTCAATGTGGACATCTCCTCCACAGGTGTTGTTCAGTGTACCTCTGCACCAACTCACTATAAATGAATACCCTATTCTTCCTCAAGTCTTACATTTCTATTGCTGGTTAACTAAGTAAAGGTCTATAAATAAAATAAGCAGACTACAGCCCTAGGACCCATTTCTGACACTCTGGATACTCATCCAATCACATCACCAAATTCCAATGCTCAATCACCTAGCACAGTAGCTTGGTTTTTTGGATGTATTGAAGAGTGGAATATGTAAAACTGATGAAGTTTTGCTATGTCCCTATCCATTCCATTTGCAAATCATTTGCAACATACTTCAAAGTCATGTTTTTCTATATCAGATGTTTTCTATGCCAGATGCCATCAAATTAAGATTTTAAAATCTTAATGTAAACACCTAAAAATCATTTTCTTTACTTAAAAACAATTTAACTGAGTTTTCTGACTAAGGTTTCACCTCCAATCAGTATTGCCAAAAATGTTCAACATGTTAACTGGATATGGTTATATAAGTTTGGGATACACTTGAATTCTCCAATGAATAAGTGGTTGGAACCATATTATCTATCTTATTGTTTGGGGAAAAAAGCTTTAGAAATTACATTTAATTTTTATAGCCCATTAGGAAGTTTTCAGTCATGTTCATACCCATACTGTCAATGAATCCCAAGAATGTACGTTTCTTCAAATCAATAATAAATATATTTTAGTCATGCAAGGGCAAAAATTCCCTAGGCAACATTCCTGACATTCTGGTATATGCCCAGGTTATGTGGAGAAAACAAAGAAGTTAGCCACATTTGAGAAACAAGGTAAATAATATATTTTGAAGTTACCAAAAACATATTTGGAATTCCCTAAAAGTTAAAAATTAGAACATAATCTGGTTTACATCTCATGTTTTGAGCTTTCTTTACTTAATAAATCAGAATGGGGGAAAAATAAAATAGCAAAGAGAGAAGAATAAGAAAGCAATATAACAATCTTATGTGCATATAGACTATGTATACGAAATAATACATGACCGTTTCAATAAAGGATCTGTAAAAGTCTCACTATTTATTGCACATTTATAAGATTGAAATCCAAACAAATTCTCTATCTGCCTGCATTACAGCACAAAATGACCAGACTGTAAACAAAAGGCTTGTGGTATGCATTATTCCCCAGGAATAAGCACTGCAGGCTCAAATCCTATTCTTTTGCAACATCAAATACATTAAATAGGTCTTTGCCTGATTGCGTTAAAGACAGATTTGCAGATATAGAAGAATCTGAGTTTCATTTATTTTCAAGCAGATACAATAAATCATTTTTAGTCTACACAATAACCATAGTTCAGTATATTATGACTTGATCACACACTCAGCTGCAATTTTAATCTATATTGGCTGCAATATATATATATAAAACAATAATTTAACCAAACCAATTTTTGCAAAATAAAAAGATCACAATGAAATAGATTCTTCTTGGCTCCTTACCTTTTCTTGGGTCTGGTTTTTTCTTGGGTCTGGTGTTTTGTTGAGCTGCTATTTGTGTCACACAAAGAAGACACACTAAAAGACAAATTCCTCGGAATGGCATTTTGCTACTGCTGCCCTCAGAGAGTGGAACAAAACTGGATTTGGTCTGCCTAGAGCCAAGCTTCTTAACATGGCATTAACTAAAAATGTCTGGCCAAGAAACAGTTCCAATTTCTTCTGTAATTCTTCTTCCAGTAACTAGAGGTTATTTTGCAGATTTCTGGGAGGGATCCAATATCTTAAAGGCTTTCCAACTAAGCAGGAAGGGGCGTATATGTGGAAACAGGATGCTTCTTTATTTTTCTGGGCCTTTTTAAAATTTGCAAATTACAACCAAGACTGACAAGACTTATTTCCATTATTTCATAGTCCCAATACAGTGCTCCTGCCCAGCTTATAAACCAGCCATTGTAGGTGGGCTTTTATGAATAGATCAATATACATTTCTTTTGTATTAAAATTTCTAATTGAGTTTCCCTGTTCAGTAGAGGCATTCAGGCTAGCAAAATTCAGTGAATATCCAAAATAAAAACAAATTAAGAAAATGAAATAACCAAGCATAAATAAGTTCAAACAAATTCCAAAGTCCTGTGGCATCTTAGGGCTGTTCTTCATTGCCATGTTAATTTGCATTCTTCACATCCTTACATTGATGGAAGCTGTGTATCAATTGTGCTACTCCAAAAGCCAATATGTTTTGCCTCTGGGACAAGACTGGTGCTGTACTTATAGTTTTAATGAATAACAGTTTAAACACAATTTACACGCTTGATAGATTCCTCTGTTCAGCTATTTACTCTATTAACATTGGTGAAGTATGCTTGGGTGATTCTGGGCATGTTCCCAAGGTAGCTTTAGACACCTTTCAAGTAGCCTGAATGTCAGATCACCAATGCACGTAACTGTCACTTTAGGGATTTTTGAAACTGGTTCTGCTAAGTTTCTAGAAGACTGCTAGTCCTATGGGATTTAAAGACATGAATACTACTCATTTGGAAAGATACAAATTTGTGCCCCCAAACTAGCCCAATTGACAGGAGAGATGTGTGGTGGAAGAGCATAATTTGAAATAAAAAATTCAATCTGAGCTTCTCTGCCAGGGTCTAGGGCAACTTGCTACAGCCAACTCGCTATGGCCAACTTGCTGTCCCAACTCATCACAGCCAACTTGCCATGGGACAACTCACAGTGGCCAACTCACTGCAGGACAACTTGCTGTGGGACAAGAGTTACACTAATATCGAAGAAATGATGGAATAGAATTATTAAAGAAAGGGTGCCAAAGGATGGATTAAATGAAATGTGAATGACAAAAACTAAACTATTTTAAAAATTATTTTAAATGATTAAATTAAATTGTCGAATTATCCTGTGGTGAGTTGGCCCATGGAGAGGTAACCATGGCGAGTTGTCCCATTCTGTTCAGAGAACTGTTGGTTATGATTGGTATTGTTATGACTGCTGCTTCTTTGAGGTTGCTATCAATTTTAGATGTAGGGGAGTTATGATAGAGAATCTCCTTCTTTTAGCTTGACTAACAGATCACATGTGCATTTGAAGGGCATGAATTGATTAAGGTGTTGTTGATTATGACCTTTTGCTATTCCAAATACTAACACTCTTTTTAATTGCTCCCTTTCGATTTACCCAACTTATTACACCCAACTAAGTGCATGACAAAGTGAAGTAGCCCATTTTACCTTTACCCAAAACACCAACTCAGAGTTCTAAAACTAGGAGAAAACAACCAGCTTCAGAATTGACAATCAAAATATTGAAGTAGTAGATAACTTCTGCCTTTCAGGATTGACTACCAACCATAAAGGAATCAACAGTCAAGAAATATGCCATAAACTACCACTTGGTAGCATAGCAGTGAAGGTCTTGGAAGAGATTGTTATATGCTGAAAATGTTAATACCTACAAGGATCAAAATAATGCAGGCAATGGTTTTCTCTGTGATACACTATGGAAGTGAATTTGAATTTTGAAGAAGCAAGAAAGAAAAGAGAGTAATGATAGTTTGTGTAGACTTCTGAGAATTACATGGATTAAATCAAGAAAACAAACAATGGATCATAGAAAATATCATAGAATCTTCTCTTAAAACATAAATGATCTAGCTCAATTTATCATACTTTGGGCATTGATATAGCTCTCTGGAGAAGCCTATGCTGTAGGAAGAAAAAGAAGGGGACAACTAGTAGCAAGGGGGATAATTTGATTACAATGGCAATGGGTGCCATCTTGGAAGACCTAAAGAGCTAGGTTGGGGACAGGTGATCCTAGAGAAAGTCTATATGGTCATTAAAAGTCAATACCAACTTGATACAACACACCCAGTAACCAATCAGTATACAGAATACATATAAATCTATATTAACATAAAATATACAGATTGGCTTGTTTCTTAAAGAATGATTCCATCTTTACAGACAAATCTTTTGAGTTTAATTGCTTTAAAACTAAAACTTGCACATTTTTTTTCAAGAAAAGGATGGTCATCTCCATTAGCCTTTCAGAGACATGTCATCTTGATTAGATTCTGACAAAGCAAAATATTTTAATTATTGGAAAGGATATTTTATTTTTTCTTAAGTTTTAATGAACTACTGAATTTCTGGGCTTATGTACAAGACTTCTGCATTCCAAGAGAAATTAAATATTTATGGAACAAAGCCTGAGCTTTTTGCTTGACAGATGTTTCTGTTTATTGCTGTACTGGATACATGACAATGAAAACGTGGCAATAACTGCACAGCCACACATGGAAATTTCCACTAACCATTATGGCAATAGCTGCTATGGTAAACAAGCCTAATTATGGGTCAGACAATAATTTCAGTTCTATGAGCAATTTGGAGAAACATACCCATCATTTCTGTTAGATAGACCAGACTATTCATTTTGAAGCATTCAAATTTGATGTCTTCAACATCAGTTCACTTCTCCATACAGCATTTGGGTAGATTTCAGAAAATCTAGGACTAACACAGGATAAATCCTATGACCATGAATCTCTGTTACTCTATTTGTGCTCTGCCCACCACAAATCCCTGGGTCAAAATGAGGTTAGGCAATGCAAACCAAGAATTTACTATACTTACCCTATTATTAAAAGTATTTATATACTCAGTGTCAATTCCAAAAATGAAAAAGCATAAAATAAAAACAACAAAAAATATTGGAAATTGGATATAAAACAAAAGTTGATATACCATATAAAACAGTGTTAGCATCTGAAACAGAACAAGAAAAAAAGCATTCAATATATCAAGTGGACAAATCCATGCAGAAACTGTTGACAACACTTGGATTTTATAGGGTGAGCTAAAAGGAAATGGCATTTGTACATTTTTGTGGAGTTGAACTATTATTTCTTTGGTTTTGTTGTAAATATTTAAGATCCACTTAACACAAGTTTACATAACTAATCCTTTCTTTATTTAAAATATATTCAATTCTGTAGAAACAAACAAACCAATAAACACACACTTTTAAGTAAAAATTCAACTCATTGAAGGTGATGATTGCACTCATCCCAAAAATCCAACTTTTTTTCGTGCTGTTCCGAGACTCTCTTCTTTATCTAAGATAGCTTGCAAGGAGGTGTGCAGCAATTTACCTACTCTCTTTCCAGTCTGGAATACAAATGAAAAATAAACTATATAAAACAGCACAAATGAATTAAAACAAGCAAAATTCACTAAAAATTATCTTTACAAATCAACAACTGAGATATGTTATTCTGTTGAAATTAATTCATTGGAATAAAACATAAAATGCAAAGAAATTATATATTAAATTATGTGTTTGTAAGAGCCATCCTTAATCACTTTTGGGCTTATTATTCTATAGGTAGTTCTTGACTGACAACCACAGTAGGTTTAGATCCTCATTTACTATTATGTGAAATAAAATGCAGAAGGAGGCATTGTCTGGTCTATAGCTGATGAAAAAATTTGCCATAAGCCAGAAAGGAAGAATATGAAGTAAATATATAGTAGAATAATGTCATAAAATATCTTAGATTCCCACTAGAGCAGTGTTTTTCAAACTTGGAAATTTCCTCTTCTATATAATTTAAGTACATTAAGAAGTAGGAAAAATTAATAAAAATAAAGTCAAAAAGTATAGCAATGAATTGCTACTATAAATAAAAGCTGGCATGAAGTTTGTATGTTAAATGTTTCTAAACATATGGGATTCATGAAAAAAACCACAAATCTATCCATATGGATGAAATTATTGTTTGCCTCAAGGCCACTAGAGTCCAATGCTCCACTTGAGTGAACAATGAAACAGTTACAAACTGGTCAATTTTTTTATATTTCTCATGATAGGCAATTGGAACAATATTCTTTCTAATTCACTGTATTATTTATTTATTTGATTTTTATCCCACATTTATAACTTCAACAAAAAACGCAAGGCAGACTGTTCCTGATTCTTAAATGCATCATTATCTCAAAGGAGGAAGAATAACGAGAATTATTGATAACATTTTACTCTAAATGTTGTTCAAATGAGGGAATATCAGTGGACAATATAAAGAGTGCATGCAAATGTAAGCATTTTTGAAAGTTAGATTTTAAAATAAGATAGGTTGGTGGTTCCAACTTTTAAGATTTACTTCTGATTTTCTCAGAATAGGTTGGTGGTTCCAACTTTTAAGATTTACTTCTGATTTTCTCAGAATTCGCACTGTAATTTTAAATCTAATCATCTGTCCAGTGCTTGCTTACCTCCATCATCTCAAAAATGCTCTCTGGATCAAGGCTCCCTCTTCCCATTTTTTTCATGCAAGTGACAACACGCTGACTTGTTACAGAAATAAGGAGGCTAGCCAAGGAACATGCTTCTTCCTGAAGAGTGGCATCGATCACATGCCTATAGCCAATCTGTGAAAACAAAGGCATATATTCTTTACTACATCTGTACTGAACTGTTGAGTGGAACTAAAATTGTATAGAGCTATCAAATAAAAAGAAACTCCCTACTCACTTCGGGATCAACATAAAATATATATTCCCAAGAATATGCAGTACTGCTAACAATGCCAAAGTATTAAAATAGTCTGTTTGAGAGTCGGTTGGGCACTGTGATTAAGCTGCTGGGCTAGGAGTGGGGAAAAAGGAAGCCTAGTCTTGCATTAGGCATAAAAGCCAACTAGGTGATCTTGGATTAGTCACTCACTCTCAACCTTGTAACGTCACCCTTCTTTAGATAACATTCATTGTCTCTGGTAAACTATGTCAATAAATCAATTTAAATTTCAATTAGGTGTGCATTGCTCTCCAATTTTAGCAACAATTTCAGAGAATATTTTTTATTATAATGGCAATGACAAATCACTTCTCAAAATGCTGCCTAACAAACCACATGAACTTGTTTATTTAGTTATCAGGAGTCAAATCCAACCTGAAGACAAAGAGAAAAAAGAAAGTAATTTCTATGCCTTCACATCAATCTATCTTCAAACTCCTTTGCTAGATGATCCTGTAATTCAAGGTGAA